CGCAGTGGCCGCTTCCGGCCACCGCAGCTTCGACCTGCTGGGCTCCGGCGATCCTTCCGCCTCAGCCTTCCAAGGAGCTGGAATTACAGGCATGCACTACCATGCCCAGCTGATTTTTTGATTTATTGTAGAGATGAGGTCTCGCTGCCCAGGCGGGTCTCGAACCCACGGGCTCAGGCAATCCACTCACCTCAGCCTCCCAAAGTCGCAGGATTAAGGCTGAGCCATCGAGCCCGGCTAGGCCTTTATTTCTACTTGAAGTAGATCAGGACTACTTTTAGTGTTTGTATCTAGCCTTGTGAATGTTGTCTCCTGCTTCAGTGATGACTATCATTTCTTACTCTTTCTTCTTGCTTTTGCCTAGAATTCACTGGGCTTCTGGACTGTCCCAATCTAGACAAGTAATTAAACTTGCTCAATTGCATATCAATCGATGAGGTGGGCCCTCAGAGAAGACCTCTCTTATGAAGTAAATTGGATGAAATTTCTGACAACTTATTGACTCTATAGCCCTTTTTTCTCTTTTCTTTTCCTTTGTTGTTTTTGTTTTGATGAAATACACGCACGATTGCAGCTGTATTATGGAGGGTTAAAATTATAACAAGGCCAACCTCTGAAGAAATGGAACATAGCTAGTTATTCGAATGAATTCTTTCTGGTATTAATTTTCTGACAAGCCAAGCCTACCAGCAATGTGGTGTGGCTGGTAGTTCGGAGCCAGCTACCTTGAAGTCCCTGAACAACGGCGTGACCTTGGACAAGTTACCTAACCTCTCAACACCTACTTCTTGGTCTATAATATTTGGATAATAGTATCCCCTTCATTCGGGTGTTACACTAATTACGTGAATTGATGGTTATAACATACTCAGAGCAGTATCTGGTATACAAGAAGTGCTATATGAGTGACTAAATATGATTCTTGTATTGCTTTCTACATCCCAGTGTTGGAATCATTCTGATATGGTTTTCAGTTGCTAGCTCTTTTAATCCACTAGGGGGCCTGGTTTCTGGAAGAGCATGACACTGAGACAGGATTATGAAGATGCAAACTTTAAGGGGGTAGACTTTTTTCCCCCCAAGTTTCAGTGTTTTGCCCTCGTGTGTATTTGCTGCCCAAATTCTATCCTAATTTGTGCTCTGTGCTAAAAAAAAAAAAGGTAAGCATCATTTCTCAGACCCCAGAAAACTCATCTTAAGCACAGCCAACTTCCATAAATCTCATTTTCTTCATTTGGTTTTCTCTTTCTTATGGTTGGGAAAAAAATGTTTTGGTATAAGTATCTCTTTTTTTTTTTTACATTTCTGTTAGGCTATAACAAACTTAGGTCTTATAAATGATGATTATCAACTAATGAGCTAAACAATGTTACAAGAGCATTCCAAAAAGGGAAAAATTATCAAAACCTACTTGAATGTCTTATTTCTCCTAAATTGACTGATTTTTTTCCCCACTGACCTAAATTCATTGACAGTTTTGCTATCATGTCACTTCAACTTTAATTAAAATTCAGAGACATCATCAGTAAAATTTTAGAAGTTATATAGGACTTACGTAGTAACTTTAGGGAATTTAGGCAATGT